GAGAGAGAGAGAGAGAGAGAGAGAGAGAGAGAGAGAGAGAGAGAGAGAAAAAGGGAGCACGAGTAGCGGAGAGAGCGAGAGAGGCGATCCCCGTTTGAGCAAAAGAGGGGGACAGTAAGTGGGGAAAAACCCATTGGGTTGGGGTACGTCTCCCCCCGTCGAGATCCCGGGAAGAAAGACCGATGTAGGGCCCCCTCTTCTTTCCTATACCCGCGTGTTTCTCCCCCCCGTATCCCCCTCAGTGGCTCGTTTCCCCCCGCCCCGACAAATCCACTGGCACTTCTCGTCAGTCGACGACGAAGAGACTCGTACGTATGTACAGAAACGACCAACTGGATTCCGAATAAGTGAATATTGCGGGCATTGTTGAGTAAAAAAAAATCGCTCGCGAGGTTTCCACGGTGGGGGAATGAAAAAAGCGTGAGGGGGGTAAGGGTTATCGATCGTGCGGAAGGGTTGGAACATCGGTAGCACAAGGGGTGATATTGCGACGCCGCAGCGCGGGACGCAAATTCGAACATTCGAGGCGCATTCACTCGTGTGAATAAAAGTGACAAGTGAATATTCCGCGAAAGGATCAGACGTGCGAGGTTGTATCGCTTTTTCAGCGCATCCCGGGGGTCTTTGACACCGCCTGAGGTGCTAACGCCGATAAAACGAGGATATAACAGCTGAGAATTCACGAGAATTGAGTTTTTATGAATATTCCATGCGATAACCCCTCGAGTTTGAGCTGAACTGGAGGCGATTGTCCGTCAAATTGTCACTGGCCACTCGGTTTATCGCTGGGGCGAGTTAATACACCGCGGGGAGGGGGACTCTGAGAGAATATAGAGGGGAGTGCGTGGACAGCTGGCACAGCCGGTTCCATCGTACGTTTCTCGTGTCCGGTGTCGTTACACCGTGACGGATGATATATGCAAAAGGGTGGGAGAGGCTTTTCGTATAATTTTTTTTGATATTTTCATTGAGACATGTATAAGTTACTCAGGGGCTTGAGTCAGTATCTCAAATGGCAGGACATCAAGACCGATTCTATGGTATTTCGTATGCACAATACGTTTACCACCGTTTTACTACTCACGTGCTCGGTTGTTATCACTGCTACTCAGTATGTGGGTAATCCTATATCCTGCATTGTTGAAAACTCTCGTGTGACTCATGTCATCAATACGTACTGCTGGATCACTTCGACTTTCACTATGCCGGATGCTTTTAATCGACAGGTGATTTGGCATTTTTCATTAGGGGTGGCGGGGGTGAAACGGACACTTGACGTTTTTAAAAATGTTCATAAGGGGGTGAAATGTTGATAGAATTCAATTTTTTTTTTTCAATACAAAGGACAACTCTTTCCCTTTGTGACGAGCCTAAACTGAACTCAATTGATAAATTTGTTTCTGAGTTATAAATCATTTTAAAAAAGTCTGAAGTGTCCATTTTACCCCACCCTCCACTATTTTTTTTT